ACAGCTAAAATTTGCAAAAAGGAGCTGACAAGTAGCCGAAACCGCAAAAAGAAGCTTAAGTTACCAGAAGGAAGTGGAGAGAGCACATTTTTTGCTGAATTAGACAGATTTTTTTGTTTTTATTATTGCAAACATTTGGAATTAGCTGAAAAAGCTAAAATTAGCAGGGAGAAAATTAAATAGTAGCTGAAATCACTGAAAATTACAGAAATAAGCTGAAAGGAGCACAACAAGCTGAAATTAGCAGAAATACTTTAGACTGAAAGTAGAAGAAATTACCATAAATAATTTGAATTAATCTGAAGACAGCTGAAATTATATAAAGATGCTAACGAGGTAGCTGAAAGGTAGAACAAGCTTAAATTAGCAAAAGAAAGCAGCAAGAACATGTTAGCCTAATTAGGCTTAAAGAGGCAGAAATGAGCAGAAAGAAGTAAATATTATCTGAAGAAAAAAACTACTTAAATTAGCAACAACAAAAAAAACAGCTGAAAAGTATCTAAAACAAAAGAAAGAAGCTTAAATTACTAGAAGGAAGTAGGCAGCGTGCATTTTTGCTGGATTAGGCAGAAAAAAAAAGTTGTAATGAGTGCAAAAATGTCAAATTAGATGAACATTTTAAAATTAGAATAAATACAACTAAATAGTGGCTGGGATAGCAGAAAAGGCTGAAACTTGCATAAATAAGCTGAAAGGAGCAAGAAGATAGAAGAAACACACAAAATGTTGTAGTTGGCATAAACAAGTTGAAAGGAGCACAAAACAGCTGAAAAAACCCAGCTGAAATTAGCTGAAAAAAGAAAATTTGCACAAGGAAGATGAAAGAAGCAGAACTAGAACAAAATGTGAAAGGAGCAGCAAAAGTTTGTAAACAGATCTAAAGATCTCAAGGATTTAAAATGGGTTCAATTCATTTAGGGGCAAAACAGTGTCAGAAATGTCTAAATATTTCGAACAGCTAAAGTTGCACCAATACCAACAGTGATAGCAGAATTCTCTCGAACAAGCTAAACATTTTGATTTATGATTTGTTGAAATAGTGCAAAAATTGTGGAATGAGAAAGATGCCAACAAAAAATATAAAAAGGATCACAATTGTGCGAATGCTTCATAAACATTCACACAATTAAAAGAACTTTGCATCTTAAAACTGTTGTTCAGTTATTACCTCTTATTTAGACATTAGTTTTCATTTGACAATTTAGTCTTTTTTTTATTATTTCCATGTAAGACTTGCTGTGGTTTCATTTCTAACCTCACTCAATCGTGACAAAGATCTCAGGACGGTCACACATTTGTCAAAATTAAATCTGCAAACATAAAAACAACTCTTTAAATTAATTTTGCATAAACAAAGCAAACAAAGGTTGGAGAAATAACAGTTTCAGCAGATGACATGAAAATCATTTTGGATAAAGCAGAAACTTTTTAGAATGTTCCATTAACACACGGAAAATAAGTTGATGGAATAAAACTGAATAAATGAAGTCAGATCACATACAAATTGTTACAGTCCTGGTGTTCTGCAACACTTTCCTCACATATTTATTTTTTATTTAGGAATTTTGTTTCTTGTGCATTTTTTTTCTGCCTGAACTGAGCATACTTTTTATTCCTCTGATTCGTTTTGCCTCTCCTGCAGCTACGCTCTGAGCTCAGACTACCAGCCTCACGGTGTTGTATTAAAGTTTACATTTTTTTCTGTTGCAGTCCCTCGTCTTCCTCCCACACTTCACCTGAACTCTGATTTACAGATATTTTACACTAAAAGTTCACTCTATTCACTGAGGAATTTTCCATCTTTAAGTCAAATAAATAAACTTTCAAAATGTTTACTGTTGTCATCTTAATGTTTAACAGTCATGTGCAGCCTGCCTTATATTTATATTTATTTTGTTTTAACATTAATCTTGAAATATATAGTTTTCCATTTCATTTTTAGGTCAAGGTTTCTTTATCGTCATTAGCATCTCATGTGGTACATGCTGTGGAATGAAATTGTGTACACACGGTCCCAGTTACAAACAGCAAAAGTATAAATTGTAAATGAAAAACAGTAATAAGATCTAAGATATGAACTAAGAAATGTGCTAAACTAAAAATACGCTAAACATTTAATAGTGCAAAAACAGTAATACACTGAACAGCAGCACGAACATGAGTCTGTGTGAGTGAAAGAATAAATTCCATTCAGTTTATTTATTTAACTTATTAGTTTATTATTAGTTTATTATTTAACGCCAAGTCACAACAAAAGTCATACAGCAGCATGAAATAAATCAGCAGCATGTGATCAGCAGCACATATCACCAGATTTTAACAATCTGATGACATTTTAACAACAACTTACATTCATGCTACTAGTAATACACACACACACACGCTGGTGGGCACAGCTAACCAAAAAGTTTGCTCCGTTACGCTAAATCACTAAAACATTAGTGGAAGCTCATACTAAAAAGGGGGCCAAGATGGTGTAGAGGTAGGGCAGTCGATTTGGGACCAGAAAATCGCAGGTCCAACTCCCTGCCTTGCCCACATGTCAGGAAATCCTTGAGCAAGACACCTAATCACCAACTGCTCCCTGGGCACTTGCATAGCTGCCTGCTGCTCTGGGTGTATCTCATGCAATGGGTTTAATACAAACGACAAATTTCGTTGTTGCATGGGAACATACAATGATGACAATACATAACTCTTTCTTTATTGTCTTCTAAAGCACCAACTTTGATCATGCACTGCTGTCGCTGACACTAAGACTGTGTAATAATGTAAGTGAACACAACTCAAATCGGTTTCATGAATTACAACTTGTGATTTATGAAACCGATTTACTTGTGATTCACAAGTGAAGCGTCCATGTCCCCTTCAGAGGTGAGCGTCCATAAATTAATCTGGTCCTGTGTCAGAACAAAAGAGGCAGAGCAGAACTCTGCTGTGCTGAAGCAGAGGGATGCAGTCAATGTGTGTCGGACATCTCTGTTGTCATTTACTATAATAAATTAACTCACTTTAGCGATCATCTTTATGGTTAACTACTTTTATAAACTGCAAAGTTGCTGTACGTCATCAAAATTCTCACAATAATAAATCTGTATCAAAATAAAGATGTGTGAAATCATGTGTGAGAGAGTCACGTCCCAGAGACATTGTGAGCATTGCAAAGCATGCTGGGTAGGTATAATGTGTGCAGTGTTTCTGACTATTTGGTTTTGCATTTATGTTAAAAAGTCTCTGTTATTGGCTGTAAACTGACACCATGAGTCAGTGACTGTTTGTGGTAAATGGGGGGGGGGGTGGGCTGCGAGGATGGATGTCACCACATGGTGCTTACCTTTACTTCGCTCTGCATAGCACCACTCTATGCAAATCACCATTCTCCTGCAAGTTTTTAGGGTAGTGACTTGTCAAAAAAATAGACAATTTTACCGTATTTAAATTTAGAGGAAGCCATTTCCACTGAAGGTTTTTAAAGTTAGCGAAAACGCTTATTAGCTACATGGAAAAGTAGTTCCACTATGAGCAGATGTCACTTTTTCAGTGACACCTTTACAATCTTGGAATGCATTTAATATGTTTTACTTGGATCCATCCATCCATCATCTTTTACCCGTTTCTTCCATTTTGGGTCACGGGGGTCGCTGGTGCCCATGTCCAGCCATCACTGTACGAGGGGCGGGGTACACCCTGGACAGGTCGTAAGTCCATCACAGGGACATTTTACTTGGATATTACTTTAAATGCCTGATTATTATATTTTTAAGAACAGATAAAAGAGGTTTAATGAATAATGAAGTAAGACTAAAGTGTTTATGATTGAGTCTTCTCTTCTGATTGACGTTACAACTATGATTCTCTTTTTTTTTCCCCCCCTCTGAGCTTTAAACTTCAAAAATATGTGCTTAAGAAGCAATTTAATGGCTCAGTGAGGACTAATTCTTTAGGTTCCTCATGTTAAATGCATTTTAAACAATGTTTATAAATTACTTAGCTTTTACGTTTCACTTTTAGATGCAATAGAAATTCTTAGAGAAACTGAAAGCACAGAGTTACAATAGCGTATCAACATTTATGCGGGGATCTCCTCACTGAAGCAATAAATTGGTACAAAGAGGCAGGAATAAAATCCTCCTACGATGTTAACGGTGGTAACAGATTACTACAATTAACTTTAAACTAACGCAAGCGTTCCTCTATTGTTTTGAAAGTTAAAAATATGCAAAATATAATCAACTTCTACAAGAAACGAAGGTATTGAGTTTAAAAGTTTAAACACCTGACTCTCAGGTTTAAATGTCTCCAAGCTTTTCTCTATTTTACGAGACTTGTTTTGAAGAGTGGGTAAACATCAAGTCGAACACAAAAGACTGCACATGATGTGAAAAAACACATGAAGCTGTAGATGAAGAAAGAAGCAGCTTATGAACTTAAAAAAAATAAATCAGGATTTACTGAGAGCAACAATGGCAGAAAGTGCCTTGGAGCTGCGTGGATGTCAAAACATTCCGATCCTCGCTGTGAACAAGACTTCCCCAGGTGAGTCATGAAACGAACAGACAGATTAAAAGACGGTTTGGATTGTAGCAACAGAAACAGGAAGTTATTGTGTCGGCTAAATCTTAAAACTTTTCTGAACATCTAAGAAGTTGTAAGACAGAAAATCATCAAGAAGCCTGGAAAAGAATTTCCAAAGAAACTTTTACTCATCGCTTTTATTCAGTTTATAGTAATGGGGGATGGATGTGGACCTGGGCTCTCAGTAAATCCACTTTAAACTGGATGTGTGGCTCACAGTAGGCCTTTAACAAGCACCCAACTGGGTTTAATCAGGCTGAAGCACGACCACAAACAGAACATCTAACCAGAGGGGCTTTAAACACCCCCAGAATTTTTTCATATAAAAGTATTTTATGTAACATCTGCATTTTTTTAAGATCCAAGAGTTCATTTTTGAGTCACTGCCATCGTAAATGCAACATTATAATCATGAAAATACTTACTTGTATTCGCTGCACTTCCAAGAAGACTGCCTTTTGGAAGGATTTCTCCCAGATAGCCAGCTCAGTGGCCAGTTCTACCCTGAAGGTGTGGCTCTGGCCGTGGCCCACCAGAATACTGAAGCAAAGGGACTCGCTGTCCTGCTGCTCAGGAGAATGCTCCAGGCCCAGATAGAGCCTCGCCTGGAGCCAGCAGTCCTCTGCCATCCACAGCTGAAACAAAAATATGTTTTGTTAGAAACTGAGGTGTTGTTTCACCTTATAAAGCCAAAGTCATGCAATCAGTAAATCCTCTGTTTATTCAGGAACATTTTTACTGTTAATCCTGGTTTATGAATCTGAGTAAACTTTCAAAACACTGCCATAACAGCATTGATCAAACTCTGAAAAACTTACCTTATGAACCTTGAAAAGAACCTCATGGAGGTTATAAGTTGTCTCAGCTTGTCCCCAGTCAGCAGCACTGATCTGAGAAAATAAATGTTTGATGAGCCAGCATGCCAAAACAAGCTTTGCTGCACTTGATTTAATCCAGAAACAAAATGCAAACTGAAGTTAGACAAGGAGTTTATGATGCGTCAGGAACCATCTTGTTGCCTCCAGCACAGGGATTTTTTTTTATTTTTTCTGCACCGTCAACATCAAATAGTGTTAGACACTTTTGCACAACAGAAGTTGCAGTCAAAAAAGGTCATTAATTTAGATCAATACTTTAATCTTTTTTTTTTACTGATTCAGATAATTCAGAATTTAGAAATAAATTTGGTTAGACAATACATGTAAAAAAGTAGAACTGATGGTTCAGTTCAAGTCTCGCAGAAATTTACTTTATAAAAAAGTTTCCATTCTCCATCATAGAGCTCATTAAAACATTTATGGGTTCCAAGTCAAGTCCTACCTGCAATCATACCTTTGGCCACTTCTTACCCATACTTTGTTAATTTATTTATTTATTTTATTTTTTTTAAAAGACACAGCCTTCTAGAAGTCACTTTGTACTCACTTCTGCCAGTCTGTACATACTTGTGTCCATTGTGTACCCATCTTAATAGTAATTCAGTTCAATTCAATTCAAATATACTTTATTAATCCCAAAGGGAAATTAAATGTTGCTGTAACTCGTTATCCTTGTTTCATTGGGAAATGTTATAGATACTGATGGCTGTAGGCAGGAAGGATCTCTTGTAAAGATCTGTCCCACTGCGGATCCAAAGAAACTGGCCACAGATGCTGTCCGATCCATCCACCCAGACTCAGCTGGCCTTTCGGTTCCCCCTGGCTGCAGGATCGCCCAAATGCCAGGCAGAACCCCTCCCAGAGCAATGGTCACTCCTCCCAGCAGCCTGTTGAGCTCTTCATCACTGCGGACAGCCGGCTGCAGGTGCCAGTAGACGATCCCGGTCCTTCTGCTGTCACAAGCCATGTTTCCTGCCAGTTCCAGGATCTCAGCAGTCAGGCACTCAAGCACAGCCGGCAGGGAGACGGGAAGCATCTACAGCGCCTCCTTTTCAACTCATTTGAAATTTGGGGCTGTAGTTGAGATATTATTCATTGTCATTTGGACATTAACAATTCAGTGTACACTTTAGAAATGAAGTTGAGCGTATTTCTGTTTAAATCGGGAATTTAGCAGCAAATAGTACTATTTCTGATGTTTGTCTAAAAACAACAGGTTAAGTTGTGTTTTTTTTTTCTTCTGCATTTTATACTAGCAGCATTGTTTTACCTGGCCTGTGCCAGATACGATTGTATTTTATGGAGTGGTTGAACTTTTATGTGCACCACAAATGTGGATGATTGGAACTGCTGCCTCTGCACATATCAGGGAACGGTCAAAGCACATGTTGACATGACTGAAATAAAGCATGCTCCTGTGGGATCGCTGCCTCTGCTGCATAAATGCATGCACGGTCGCAGGGATACGTGCACTGCATGCAGGGTAGTATGAACATGGGAATGTTTGCATATGGTTAGTGCATGGGTGCAACATTTTAATGGTTTCATCCCGTGTTGGGGGGGAATGCTGACTGGTGATCGGATGAAATGGTAATAGCCTGGTACAAATTGACAACTACCAGGTTTAAAAAGTACAACTTGGCAGAGGCAGTATTTGAACAGAACCTCACTGTTGTGCAGGCATGCTGGTTTTTACTGGAACTGGAAGGCTTCACCAGTTGAAAAAAAAAACATGAGAATATAACCTCACACATATTCTCCATGACAGTTCAGTTGAATGTATAATATACTTCAGCAAATCTTATATTTTATGACGGTAATAAGTCAAACTAGTATAAAAATGCATGTGACTAAAAGTTACTCCAAGTTGCCATGTTTTATTTACTGAGACAAACTGTTCTGTTGCAGTCTATACCGACCAATGTTTGAGTTTTAAACTGCTTCTCTCACTCACAGCTTCATATGAAAGTTGTCAAATTTGATGAAATGAGAAAAAAAAATCTTGAAAATCTCAAAACTGCCTTTGTCCAGTCTAAAAAAAACATATGGAAGTATTGAGTGTTTCTACCATCTTTCTCTGAGCAGGGAACAGTTTTTCCAGACATGTTAACTAAAGCTGCAACTCAACATCAGCAACTTGCACCACAAAAAACAAAAACATTTCTGCATATTTAAACCCTCTCAGTCTCGGGGATATTTATCGGTGCTGTATTTTTTACAGAAGCCAGAGGACACAGCTGTCACTTTACAGCCCACCAGCTGTGCAACATCTTCTGTTATGGAACCATAACTCCTACGCTAAGACGCAAGAAGTATTATTGCCATTTATTACAGATTATGACTTCTTTCTAAAACAACAAAAAAAGGGCTATCATTTAGACTTGGAACATACTGCAGGTATCAGTTTGTCCAATGTTTATTTAAAAAATATATATATATATGTTGAATATTTAAACAACTTACAGTCTCAGCATCGGGGAAGTTCACCTGAAGCACAACTCCAGTTAAGAAAATCTGGTTTAAAAATACCAAAAAGTGTATTAAAAACAAACTTTTTTATGGAAAACCCATTTAATTGTTTGTTAACTCAAGTAAGTAATCAGCCAATCAGATGGCCGCAGCTCAGAGACAGTGACAACAACTTCCTGATGTATAAACTGGGCATGGATGGTTGCACCAGACCGGCTAGTCTATTTCAAAAAACCTCAGAGATTTCCACTCATGACTATCTTTTAAGTTTACAGAAACTGGTCCAAAGAAAAGATCCAGTAAGCAGCAGTTGTGTGAATGAAATGCCTTGATATCAGGGGAGAATGGGCAGACGAGTTTGAGATGACAGGAAGGCAACGGTTGCACAAATAACCACTCAGTACAACTGTGGTCTGCAGAATACTGTCTCTGAATACACAGCACTGAAACTGAGGCTACAGTTCACACAAGTTCACTAAAATTCAACAAGAAATTGGAAAAAATATTGTCTGGTCTGATGAGGCTCGATTCACTGGAGCCCCACAGCCTCCACAAATCTTAATTTGGGATGTGGTGGAACGGAAGAGTCTCATTAAAGGAGCTGACAAACTTGCAGAAACTTTGACGTCATCATGTCAATAAGGTCCAGATGCTCTGAAGATCATTTCTAATGCCTTGTTGGATCTCTGACAAAGAATTAAGGCAGTTCTGAAGGCAAAAGGTGGTCTGACCTGATTAAATTAGCTTTAATAAACAGCTCTTCTCTGCCTTCCAAGAATGAAGGCAAGACATTGAACGTGTGACCATAATTGAATTGTGTATTTTTAGTTTTTACAAAACAGAATTTTACTTCACGTTTGTTATGCAAGCACAGGGAGGCTGGTAAATTCCAAATAACCCACTGCTTTGGCAGTGCAAAATAAGTTTTAATAGGTTTAGTGAGAGGATTTGCTCACATTAGCCTGCAAGACATTGTTGCATTGTGAAAAAGACACAAATAAAATGTTCACTCTTCGGGTGTAGATGCTTAAATGTTGATGCTTCTTTGATGCAGCAGCAGAAGGAAAAGTCTGTAACTGTTTTTTTTTTTTATTTTTTTTTTAGGAGACTCTGGTTAAACAGGACCAGACATTATCATTACTGCAGCACAGCTAGAGTGAACGCTTACATAAAACTAAAAATGCAAAAGAAGAACTGTATGTTTTATAGAACAGCTGTGCTATAAGTTACAAAATCATCATTTGTTGCAATCAGTTAATTTGCACAAGTCTTTCCTAAATCTCTCAAATGAAGAAAATTGGCTGCAGTGTGATAAAATGTGTTTGTAGCTGCAGGCTCAGACAGAAGTGAATGTAAAATATCTGTTGGAATGCAAAGGTCAGGAAAACGGGAAGCTCATTTTGTGTATTAAACTTTAATGTTAAAAAGTGTGAGAAAAAGTAACATTTTCAGTCGTCATGTGAAAGATTGATCCTTAAATTTTCACAAGAATGTAATCATTCTTCTGTCATGATATTAAACAGCAAGTGAAGTGCTTTTTGGAAATGAGGCTGTTTTTACCTTTTTTTTAACTTTGTACTCGCGTCATTACTGTACAATGAAGCAGCTTTAGTCTAAAGTTTAGTTTGACTGCTGTTTTTTGATGCTTTAGACAAATAGTTGTGGGTTGGAGAATATTTGTGAGTTTGAATCAATGGTTTGTGATCTATAGGTGTGACCTATGACAAATCTGAAGCAGTGCCTGAAAATTTGGTTAAATCATGCCGTGTGACTGCTGCTGAGACGGACATCTTTTCTCAGCCCTTTGCATCTGCAGCGGAGTCCAAGTCTGAGCCGAGTCAGTCTGAATCCGTACAGAGCACTGAACTCAGCGCTTGTTTTACTTTTAATGTTGAGTTTATCTCGGTTGGATGTTTGTGAATAATATTTTTTCTGTGACAAGAAATCATGCAGTTCAGTTTTTATTGTATCTTACGTTGTACCATGTGTTATCAAGACACTCCAATCTCAGTTAAACAGTGTTACATGGACGAGTCTTTTAAAATCACAGCAAAAGCAGGACTTTAGACAAGAATCCTTATAGAACAATAAGTTAATTTTGATCTTTTACTCTGATTCTATTTTCCATTTAAATATTTAGTCATTTTCAGGCTCTAATTTTCAGATTTTAGTCCATATTCTGTGCACTTTTTAATGTTGATGTATACTTTTCTACTGCCTACTAATATCTTTTGACTCTTACAACTATCTCACAAGGAATAACTACTCAAAAGAAAGAAAAATATGCATTTGTCTTCACTCAGTAAATAAAATTACACTGATGGCTAAAGTTGATGAGGGTGTTGCCAACTTTTCTATTCAACTAATGTGAGTAGCCTTTAGCGTGTTGGAACTGTTCTTTCATTTTCTTTTTGGAAAAATGTTTTCATTTTCAGAAGTATAATAAATAGACCTGGAACGAATGAAAGGCTAAATCTATATTCCCACCCCCATACTGCTCACAGCATTACAACCTTGACTTATTTTTATAAGTTCAACAAACA